CCCCCCCCCCGTATTAACCGTACAATGTGGAATTAGACTAGGAATCCAGATAAAGCCATCATTGTGAGAATAGCTCTTTCTGACAAAAAAAAGTGTTCTTTTTGAAATAAAGTTCTATTCACTACATTCCTCTTAGACTTAATGTGAATTTTAGTGCCTCTAATTTTAGATTGAAGTGAGGTCTAGAATAAAAATCACTGGCTGACAATTGAATTTATAGACAGTTGTTAATATTTCAGACTTATATAAAAAGGCTGCAGGAAATCTGGTAGAAGAAATACGAATTAAGCTTGAACTCTTATACTGGGGGTGTATAAGGTAACTTCAAATGTAATGAGAAAGTAATGATTAGGAAATAATTGCTCTGTTATAGAGGTCTGTTTTACTTGTCACTACCTCTCATAGCAAGCTCAGATAATGAGTGCCAACAGGTTTATAGCCAAAACAGAACCACTGGAAAACAAGATAGGGGCATCAGCATGTTGGATGGAACCCCAAGGTTGGGAATACACAAATTAGTACTATTCTAGTTGCAACTGGAATGTTTTTAGCAACATTTATGGGAAATGAAAATGGGAGAAATAAATTAACTTTCAGGGAGCAGGACAAAATTTTCGGTAGTAGGGATTTTGAATTATACTTCTCTTTTTTGTTGTCTCCTATTTTTCCCCTTTTTATGTTAGTGATATAGTGGTGCTATTGCTAGTACATTTCAGTTACCATTTACTCCTAGAGTGTCTTGGAGTAGAATAGTATAACTGGGTTCAAATATTGTACCAGACCAAAATGTGGTTTCTTTGTTTTGGCTTAACATGTAAACCAAATTAATTGTGGCTTATTCAATAAACCATGATAAAACTATGCCTTAGTATAATATGCCAACCTAATAACTATATCATTATGTAGCTGGGTTTACGTATTTTCCTCTTCATTTTCCCCAGAACAACTACCCTGTGAAGTGAGTTGGGCTGGGAGAAAGAGACTGGCCCAAAGTCACACAGCCAAAGAAACTCATTGAGTGGCTTTTTCAATCACTCTCTCTCAACCCAACCTAGTTCACAGGGTGATTGTTGTAGGGAAAAATGGTAGGAGGGAGTGCTGTGTACATTGTCTTAAGCACCTAAGCAAAAGGCAAAATATAAATCTAATATATACATACACAAATAACTATAGTTAAGACACGGTTTGGGTCTGGTTCCGGGTAATGCTAAGTCATAACCACTAGGACCTCATATGCTTACTGTGAACCAAACTTCACACATAAGTTCATGATATGTGTCTCCAACAAGTGGAACTTACCATTTTGCTGCTTAAATAGTGTTACCCAAATTTTAAACAGAAGGAAATACATCTATGTGGCATTAATGGACTTTCTGATATAGCATTTTTTTCCTTCAGTAGCCAAGGATAGATTTTTACAACAGATTGCTCCAAGGAATGTGCATTACCTCTCTTACAAGATGAGGTTGATGTAGTGATGAGAATGGCTAAGTAGAACTTGGTGGGGGATCCAGATATAAGTGTATGTATATATGTGTGTAGATAGAGAGAGTGAGTGAGTGAGTGAGCAGTTGTCCTTCTAGTTAATTTGCTCAGGAGTAATTACATGGCCCATTCCAGAGAACTGAGCACAGGATCTTTTCCTTACCCCATTTTTTCAAAACAAAAGAAAAATCATCCCACGTGTCTTAAATCTCCATTCTTATCAAGGATTAAAAAAAAAAAAAAACCTGTGTGGAAAATGGAGTTTTTCATAAGAAAGAAAATCTGTGGCTTCCTAAATATAAACTTAGTTTTAAAACAGTTTGTATTGTTTCAAAGGTAGATCATTTTTACTCAGAGGTATCCAACACTTACAGTCAAGTTCTGTAATTACTAGATTGTGAGAGAATTATTTGATATTCTGATTATAGATATGTACATTCCTATGTCAAAATGAAGACATAGACGTGTTCCTGATAGACAGCAAGAAAGCCAAGCTTTAGTAGCCTAATCCTTCTCACTGTATCCCCTGATTGTAATGTATTTAAGAGCTGTCCAACCAGTATAAATTAATAAATTGTGTAAGAACTCTACTTACTTGTGTAAGAACTCTACGCTGAAAGGAATTCATAGGGCTGTGGTAATTGAGTAGTGATCCATTATCTTTCAAATGGTCTTGAGAACAATGTTTGAGAATAAGAAAAACAAAAGAATGAGGGATTTATTAATTACAGATGTATTAATTACACTAGTAACCACAAGGCAGAAAATGGAGAGGAAACCTGATTGAATGCAAGGCATCTGAAACATTTTCCTCTTCAGATAGTGGAAAGCCACATTTTCGTAAGGCTTTTTCCTTAGTTGGATACCATATTGATTCTATTTCTCATTATTAAGATAATATCCAGGTAACTGGTGACAAATTCTGTGATGAACAGTACTACATATTATGGCTGACTTTGGACTTTCAGATCTGCTTCAGCTTTTGCATCTTGATTGGAACCCTTAAGCCAAATTGGCACTCCAAGTGCCATGTTCTCATCCTGTGTCATCTTTTCCTCTGGAGAAGAGTGATCAAGGTGGATGTGACAAATACTAAGCTTGTAGTTCCATGCGTAGTTTAAAAAATGCAAATAGCTGCAGACAATGGGCCAAACAGATAATAAACAAACTTCAGATTAAATTTTAATTATTAAAACCATGTTCTGCTAAACCATATATTAACTGATGAAGAAAAATCTTCCTTAGAAACTCTCAAGAGGTACTTTAAAAAGGGGCATCTGAGCCTTGTGGCCCTGTCTGTTGCACAGACTGCTGTCCTTTCACCACAGGCAAGACAGAGAGAAATCAGCATTACACCTTAGACGGTGACCAGGCAGGTACAGAAAAGACAGGCCTCTTGAGATGCTGAATGCAATTTTAATATGATTGCTTTAACCTTACTATGTGTTAATTTTCTTTACAGGAAATATTTAGGGCTGCATTTTATTACTTACTAGCAAAGTCTGTAAATGAACTTGCTAAAAAATTCTTTCCCCCTTCCAAGTTCTTTGTTAGAAGGTTGGGCAACAAGTGGGATCTTATTTCACTTCCTCTTTTGGTTTTTATCCTGTCTTTATTATTTTTATAAATAACTCAAGGCAGCGAACATACCTAATACTCCCTCCTCCTATTTTCCCCACAACAACAACCCTGTGAGGTGAGTTGGGCTGAGAGAGCGTGACTGGCCCAAAGTCACCCAGCCAGCTTTCATGCCTAAGGTGGGACTAGAACTCAGAGACTCCTGGTTTCTAGCCTGGTGCCTTAACCACTAGACCAAACTCGCCATATTTAATATTTCTGAGCAATCAATTAGTACTTTTAAAACAACATGACAGTTCAGTCATTTGCCCATTGGAGTTGCTTAACAGTTTAGAAACTTAATAAGTATATAAATGATAATAGATGGGGTTTTTTTAGCCTTTAAGAACCTTGATTTAACAAAGGAATATGGGAACTCACATTCATTTCAGCTATACTTTGTTTTTGAAAAGGATTTTAGGGCTGTTTTTATGTTGCAAATGTGTTGAACAAGATAAATATATTTCTTGACTCTGCTGAAATAAGCCAATATATATGTAAAAAATCATGACAAAAGACAGTTGGCTGATTGAGAAGATAGAACCAAAGTTTTGAAAGCTAAGAGATTCCTTGCAACATTTCCTTTCCAAATTTGATTAAACAGTCATATTTTTAAAAGGTAACATGTTCAAGTTTGGTAACAGTTCATGAAGCCTGTGGAGAACTCCACCCATTTATCTGTAGTGTTTTTTCACCTAAAATTTAGTATAGGGGGAGATGGGTGGTGTACGTTTAATAAATAAATAAAAACAAACAAATAAATAAAAATGAGATAGAAGAATCAGTCAGGCTGATACGTTGTTCAGGATTAGAAGCTATTTTTTGTTGAATATTGACCCAACTCAAATTTTCCTCTGTTGTGAGTGAAACAGATTTCACTGCATTCTTGAAAATCTTTCAAAGGGTACGTTAGTATGGTGTTTGCCATGACAGCACTGTCTCTTCAGTTAAGAAGCACATAGCAATCAATCTGCCACTTAGCACAACTTCTTTCCCAGTTTTGACAGTCAAAAAATGTGCAAGTTCAGATGTTTTTTACTACTTTGAATACCTCCTTTTTAATAAGATGACATCAATGATCTCATCATCTGACAAGTAAAACTTCTGTTTGCTCCTTTCAAGAAGAGCAGAATTTTCTAAAAATAGTCAAATATTGGCTTTCACATCATACAGTCTTCCAGTTATATGGGATGCGTGCATTATTATTGATTAATCTTAAGGACAACAGCTAAAATGTAATTGCAGACAAAGCTGATGAATTCTTCCATTTAGATTTTATGAAACAGAAATCAAGCTTAATTATCTGCTGCAATCAGAGATCAAAAATCTCTTTATAAATTTCTTTAAAAATGATTTATTCTTTCATACTGAGATCCAATCAATATAGAGAATACAGTTATGCTTTAGTGAAACTTGCTGGCAAAAAAGAATTTACTGAGCAAAACATTCATCTGAAATATGCAGAAAGAGTTTTGATTCTCTCTGCTTTTAATGTTAGTGGAAAGGGTGAATGTGTTGCCATAAGGGAAAGAAGTTCTAAGAACAATGTGGTATTGAATTCATTGTTGCTGTATATGACAACTTTAGAATTTGCAGAGGTGATTTGAAGGAAATTTGAAAAAGGGAGGGACTAAGCTTCAAAAATAAATTGTATTATGTCTTTTAAAGTTTTTGTCTACAGCCAGTCTGAAGCTTTGCTACAGCTCTGTTATGTCCTTATGCTGATTACCTTCATGTAAAACAAGAGGTATTGACTAATGAATGAATGATGTACGGTCTTTAGCCCTTGCAGCACTGCCTTTAAAGATCATTGTCTTTAATGCACAGAAACTTCTTTCTCTCTCACTCTCTTTACAATGCAGGCTCCTTTGCAGAATGTCAAGCAAGGATCGACACATTGATTCTAGCTGTTCGTCATATATCAAGACGGAACCATCGAGCCCCGCCTCCTTGACGGACAGCATCAATCATCACAGCCCTGGTGGCTCCTCTGACGCCAGTGGGAGCTACAGTTCAACCATGAATGGACATCAGAATGGGCTAGATTCACCACCACTCTACTCTTCAGCCCCAGGTCTTGGGGGTAATGGGTCTGTCAGGAAACGATATGATGATTGCTCCAGTACCATTGCTGAAGATTCACAAACCAAGTGTGAATACATGCTGAACTCAATGCCCAAAAGATTGTGTTTGGTTTGTGGTGATATTGCATCAGGGTATCACTATGGTGTGGCTTCATGTGAGGCCTGCAAGGCTTTCTTCAAGAGGACAATTCAAGGTCAGTGCTTGATTACCCTTTTCTTAGCTGAAGAAAACTACAGCACAATTCTCTCTCCCCGCCCCCACTTTGTTTTCTATGAAACCATTTTGTTCAATTTGACTAGGTCCAATCATGCTTGTGCTAGGCTCCAGTGTAGTCTGTTGATAGTGTTATATGAGTGAAGGCTGCACAGTTTAGGTTGCCACCTTCATTTTGATATAAAAGTTTAGATTAATGTGTCTTGTCCATAGAAGCCTTTTTACTTTCTTACCCACTCTTCTTTGGATGTAGGAAACTTCCTTCCAAGAGTTAAGACAACTTTCCAGTAGCATAACTCCTGATACCCTCTGTCATACATATCTTGCCCTTTAGTCTATCTCTTATGGTATGTATGTATGTATGTATGTATGTATGTATGTATGTTAAAAGCATATTTGAACAACCAAGCTGACTTCAGTTCCAAAATATATTTTATAATTTAACACATTAATTTACCTCTTTGATACTAGTTTTTAGCAAATAAGCCCTGTAAGTCAGTTTAAATGTTTCAGCTAAATCTTAAATATTTGTAGTCATTGCTCTCCTATCATTACAGCAGATAAGCTTACATATTGTGCTAAGCTGTGGTTTGGCTCTATTAAATTTATCTAATTGCCTCAGTTTCCACAAGATGCTAAGCCTTAAACCATACCTCATAAAGAGTAGGATCACATAACACGCTAAGTCAAAACCAAACAAACCATGGTATAGCTTATCATGTATGAATCAGGTTATTGCGTGATTTCTTACATTTTATTTCCAAGGTAATTGGCATGTCCTACCTTAAGTAGTTCTGTTTATGGATATGGTCTAGCTTGAGTATTAATAGCTATGACAAGATCTACCATTTTTCTGGCTCTGGGTACCATCAAGCAATTCTGTATGCTAGCCCAGACACCTTATAAGTAAAACTGCAGAAATATTGTGAGAATCCAACCAAGTTTTTCTGTGAGATTGCCAAAATCTCAAAGAAGACAATAATGTCTGGTGATTTCGATGAAATCTCATGAAATTTTATTTCTCTCCTGTGAGAACTTTTGACATCCTCATGTAAGATAGATTTTGGATTGCAGTGTGATTTTCTTGAGGATGTTATAGGTCTGTGTTATGAAAATGTTATGAGAAAGTTCTTTATTGAGTAATATGATTATATTCCATCTCAAATACGTAGAGTTTCAGATTAGTCCCTTCCTGCTTCATCCATTATGACGTTAGTAAAATAAGAGAGAAGATTTTGATCTCTCCTTAGTTAAAACAACAGCAAGAACAAAGGAAGTGTCCACCAGGCTTCCACAAAGACAAGGATGAACATTGCTAGAGGTTATATCTTTATTGTATGTCAAGAAATGGTAGTGTATATGCTACTTGAGAATATTTTAGCTAGTAAGAATGGTGGTTCAGAGTTTAAACCTGGTCAGCTCTCAAACCCTTCATGTTCTCTTTCAGTGCCACTGTCACAGAAGAGAAAACATGGGTTTCCTTTTATCTCTAGCTCTCATAGTGTCTGTTGATAATACATACATATTTACGTTCTCTGCATTCCTGCTGTCCCATTTTGGTAAGTCCACTAAGTTAGGCTAGAATTTTCCAGGCACTAACCAAGTCTTGAAAGTCTAATACATGTTTACAGATTCCAGTGTATCTTTTGTACAATTATAAGTTAAACAAGAACCCAAATGTCATCAGTCCCAGACCTCTGTATAATCTTTTTATGTGGCCATTTATCAGACATTAACCCAGAAAAAAACAAAAAAACTCAAAGCAAAAGAAATATAGGAAACTCCCTTAAGACTATTTGTCCATCTAACCTAGTGTTACTTACTCTGACTAGCAACAGTTCTCCAGGGGCTTATGGAAAGATCTGCCATCAGCTGCTACCTGACACTTTTAACTTAACTGCAGAGGCTATGCATTGAACCTGGGAGTTTATGAATGCAGAACATATGTTCTGTCATTGAGCTACGATCCCTCCCTGCTAAGCTGCAGAAAATCCCTGCAGAGAACACGTTGCTCTTGATAATTCAAGCGGAGGCATCAAAAATAAAACAGAGCACAAAACAGGTCACTATCCAAACTAGTCTGGAGAAAATTTCTTCACAGTTTTAAAACAGAAAGCCAGTGACCATGAAGCATTGGAAATTCATGTAAGACTTCCTGAAGAAACTTCTGCCTAGTTATCCCAGAAAGATTTTTAATCTTCTATAGTAGAAAGAAGAGCCTTGTGATTAGAGGTTTGAGAACAAAAAAATATTGGTGATCAGAATAGCCGAGTTTGTGTTGTGAGGAGGAAAAATAAAGCCCAGGTTATAGCATACTAGGGGAAGATTAACATCAAAAATACTGCATTCTCATTTTTTTGTTACGGATAAAAGGTGTCATAATATAGTGTATGGTAGAATCTTTAGTTCATACATTGGTGGATAGATTTTAAAAGTATGGAATTATACTACTATTATAATTAGTAATATTTTTTAGGAATTTGGGATGCAAGGTGATAAAGACAATGTTGAATCTTCTGATTGTTATTCCTATTTCTTTAAATATAGTACTTCTTATAGAAGAGAATATCTGTAGCTCAGGGTTGAACTGTGGAGTCTTTGGTGCTCTCTGAGCTTGATTGTTTGATTGCAGACGTTTCATTACCCGACTATGATAAAGTTTGGTTGTTTGCTTGGAGACATTTCATTACCCTGTATGATGATGTTACCTAGTTGGATAATGAAATGTCTGCAAGCAAACAACTAAGCTCAGAGAGCATCGAGGACTCCACAGTACTTCTTATCCCCCAAATGAATAATTTTTTTCTTGAGTTGTAGGTGTTTCTGCCAAATTAATTGCCTAGATTTGGTCAACTTCTGTTTCGCTGAAAACAAAAGCAATAAACCAAAATAACTGTAATCTATAGTAGCAGCAAACAGAGAGACTACAACAAGGCTGCCTGAAGATGCATGCTTCAACCCATAACACCTACAGTCAATATATTATGCCCCTTCCTCTTTTTGCATCAATGTGCACGATTGTAATCCCATTCATTCAAATGTGTTGCTACTCCCCTCAAGTTATATCTTGCCCCAAACTGACTTCACCTCATTGAAGAAGGAAAAATAGCAAGTTCTAAAAATAGCACATTGATTTTTGCAGCCTGTCAGTTTTATTTGTACTCACTAGTAAGTTGAAAAATGACATGCTTTAAATAAATAAGTAAATAAAATCCAAATCTTCTCTTTACTGGCAGTAGCAGAAAACATAATGCCCATGAAATATAAGAGAGAAAGATGTCCCTTTATTACAGAATGCTAATTCTATAAACTTAATTCTGCCTAACTCAATGAGCTTTGGACTTGTGACATTTTATGCTGTAGTGTTTTATGCAGTAGAGACCAGTTAAAGTTGACAATAGTTTTGGTAGCAAATCATGATACGGGTGTATTCCAGCTTTTGGCCACATCAAAAGACTAATTAGATAGAACTAACACAATGATAAATAATTAGGGAAATAACATTTTATCATGAAAGCCACTGGATAAGTTCACATACCAGTTAAATCACAGTTTGTTTTAGCCATTATTTGTATTAACCATAGTTTGTTGAACAAGCCATACATTCCTGGTTCATACATAATGCTAAGGCATAAAGCACAATGGCTGGGCTCACTCATCACTTTAGGCCCACAAGCAAATCATATCAATGACTAGGGTTAGCTTTTGTAGCAACCTTTGGCATCATATGGTGACATTTTTTAAAATAAAGGATAATATTTTTTAAAAAGCTTGCCAAATGGAACAGTTCTCATGGGAGACTTAACATCTGGTCATTCCATTCTTGGACTTTAATAAGACTTGAAAGCTGTTAATTTTGGCTAGATTGTGTCAGCCTCTATAATGTTGTGGTAGCTTGTTCCTTTTTTTTGCCAGATTCTCTAAAATTAATCTATAGTTGATTGGCCAAGTGTGTGTGTGAGAGAAAGAATGGGCAGGCCTTCCCCATTCTAGTTTCATCCAGATGTATTTGCACAACTTTTATGCTGGTTGGCAATTGGGTGAGTTAAATTCCACCACAGCTGGAGAGCATCCGTTTGGTGATCTCAGGAATGGTAATTTCGTAGGCAGGAATAACTAGAATCATAACCATTGCTTGAAATTTAGTCAGGGAGAGGGGTGCTTATCCTCTTTTAACTCTTCTGGTGAAGACGTCACTTTCAGCTTGAGAACTCTGAAGCACCAGGAATGGTATCTCTTTTTTGCCAACCCCAGATTAGTGAAATTGCTAGTTTATATCTAATGAAGCAATGGTAACCAGTAGCTTCACTTTCTATGCACCCATAATCCTAGTTCTTCCTAACCACTCCCATCCATATAAAATGCATAGTATATGGACATTTAGTTATTCCTGTTGTGATATTACCTCCATTAAAGCTACAGCCGAATAGCACTTTTTAATCATTGCAGATGGCAAGCATATTAGAATAGGTTTATGGCATGGCAGTCCTCATGCCCTCTGTGTGGTTGTAATTAGAAGACTTTCATTAGTTTTGTGAATGTTGGAGGAATGGAAACCTGCTTATGGGAGGAGAAGGAATTTGATTCAACAACACACATATCATTTCCCTGCTGAGATGTTAGTTCTTTGAAAATCCAAATACTACATTTATTGCAGCATGATATAAACAGCACATGCATAAAAGCCCAGGAACACTTGAGCCAGAACAATCAAAATTCGGGGTGTATTATCCATACTACCCATCCCAATTAATTGCTGTACTGTAGCTTTGTATCAATTGCAAATCCCAGACTGTTTTCAAGGATAGTCCTATTTAAGCTTGTTGTCACAGTTCAGTTAGGAAGTGTTGTCATACAGCTCATTGATTTCTACACTGGGAACTGTGTTGTGGAGCAAGTAGAAGAGGTGCTTCCATCTTAGTGGCTGCTGCCCCTTCCAACCACTGTGTACGTGATCACCCTTCATTTGTTTGCAAACTG